GTGTGTGTGTGTGTGTGTGTGTGTTGTGTTGTGTCTTAATATAATTGTCCCAGGAATTAAAATCGTGCCAAAGCAAACGTGGAAAAAAGCAAAGGCAATTGTGAGACGGGTCCGCTGGGCACATCCAGCAGAAGCACCGCGCGTGTCTTTAAGAGGCGGGGTGCACGAGGGGGCGGGGCAGGCGGTGGAGGGGGCGGAGCAGGTGGAGGAGGGAGCGGAGTTGTGGTCGCGGTGCGCCAGCAGCACTCAGCTGGTGAGAGCCGCTCGCAGACGGGAGACAGCATCCATGGCAACAATCATGACAGGTGGGAGCAGCAGAACGATGTTTATGAAATGACATGTGTGTTGATGTGAGGGCGCGGACCCGGTGGAGGTTAATCAGCAGGGCGTTAATCCGTCCCGCGTGCGACTGTTTGTGTTGTGTTTTTAGAGGCGGACACCCGACAGAGGCTGCTGCGCACCGTCAAGAAGGAGGTGGGTGGTTTCATCTCAGCACTTATCGGATTGGAAAAGCAAACATGCTTTTTTTTTGTGTGTGTGTGTGTGTGAACCGGGACCGTTTCCGCCTGTCCGCGGGTGTGAATGAGCCTGGAGACGCTGGAAATGAACGATGCGTGTTTTCCTGATGTCAACACCGGAGATCGATGGCTTGGTGTTCATCTCAGCCCCTTTGGAAAGATCAGAAAACAAGCCCGCACTGAATAGCAGATCAATAATAGTAGTCTTAAAGTATTTATCTTTTGTTTTCTATACATCTTATCCCCTATTTGGGGTCATGAGGCTTTAGAAATAAATCAATAAATATAAATCAATAAATCAATAAATAAATATATATATATATATATATATATATATATATATATATATATATATATATATATATATATATATATAATATTCGCGGAGAGGGAGAATGGAGAAGGAGCACACATATTGTGTTAGTGGTGTTTATGGCAGAGCAAGCCGAGCCACTTGTTTGTTACACAAACTGTGTGTGTGTGTGGCGGGGTATATGTGTGTGTGGGGGGGGGGGGGGGGGGGGTGGAGGCAGTTCTGGTGGTCTGTTCAGCTGGTCTTCAGCACTTCATCATCATCATCATCATCATTTGAGGTTACCGCAGTAAAACAGAAGAGCAGAGCTCAGCGGAGATCAAATGAGACGTCGCTACCATTTAGTCTGTCATTCAAACTATGAATGACATTTCTTTTTAGAGGTCTTCATCGTTGTGGATTCTCTAGCTTGCTGTGGTCTTTTGCTCGAGGTTATAGGCCCCGACCCTTGGAGAGAGGAGATGTGGAGCATAGGGACTGACATTTAGAGCCTGTTGCACGGGAACAGGTCGTGCTGAGGCTGATGCAAAGCTCCCATTACATGAACATCCATCTAGGTGAATAATAATCATCATTTCTTAGCTTTTTCTGACATTGTTCTTCTTTTTTTATATCAGTGATGCTTTCTAGATCTGTTCATTATGGCTAAATTTTATTCTGGTGAAACTACCACAGCAATCATCTGATATTAGGAATTGAACTCCAGTAGAGTTATATATGTATTATATATTTAGGCCCAAGGATTGGGCTTACACAATCTTACCCCGTTGAACAAGTGGGTCAAGAATTGACTGAAAAATGCAACTTCATGAATATTAACATCATGTTTAACAGCATTTCCATCAAGTGTCCTGTACAACAAGTGTGGACCATAATTATTTTACTCTTGATAAACTGTTGAACTTTTATGCTGCACATTTACAGGCTATTGTTAGTTTTTCTCTGTTGGTTCAGGTGACATTAGCTACCCAACAGTCCCACCTGCCAGTTAATGCAGTTTATTAAAAATCTAGCTTGTTTACATAGTGAAACCTGTTTCACCACGCGTTAGTGTACACTTCCGTCATAACTAGTTAATCATTTGAACTTATTTTTACTTTGCACTCCCTGCTGTTGTAGCTTTCCTTTGTTCCTTGTGTCACAAGTGTTCTCCCAAACATTTAGAGCTTAGCAGTAATGTACAGGGAGATCTTCTGCATTTTTTCAAAAACTGAAGCAGTGGAACATTACCGGTAGTTTTGTAGGGAACGTTTGGCCACTCATTCCCTTTTCCTGGCCAAATCCTAAACATAGCCGCTTTGTTTAACATCCGTTTGTTAATAGTTGATTTATTTCAATAGTTTCATCCCACATCGCCTCATCAATTACTAGACTTGAGAGCAAACAAACATAAAAATAAATCTCATCCTGAGAGACTTTGTTCTGATTTGTTTTTCTTCGAGCTCTGTTTGCAGTCTTATCAGTGGAAACAGACACTTCCCATAGTGAATCCTGCCTCCTGTGTCCTGATACGGCCTTACTGGGATTCACTCAGAGGGCACAGCTCGCCACCAGTGTAGCCTGACTAGTCTGCAGAGAATGGCGAGTGAAGAAGAATGGCTTGAATCTAGATGCCTCAACAAAGAATTTGAATGTATTAATTGGTACTGAGTTATTCCCCTTTAAATGGAATATATATATTGTTGTTTTCACTTCTTCCCCTTTAGTTCATGGTCATTATAGCTCTGCGTGGGTTCTACCATATGGTGTCTCGATGCCGTGTGTTCTCTCGCTCTCTTGGTCTGTTCAATTACACCTGGATGTGAGCCAGAGAGAGCAGGACGTCTGCAGCAGTGGAAAGAGCTTCTGGCACACGCTGCATTAAAGGAGATCTCCTATTGGCCTTGGCTTTGATGCAGAACGCCTCTCAGTCCGTCTCCGTCTGTTTGCGTTGCTCTGATCTCAACTCTGAAGTGTGCTCCTCGCTCACCGCAGCGCGGACACACACCTGGTGTTTGCTGAAGGAGCGCGAGAGGGAGAGACTGTTAGAGGAGCAGGCGACAAACGGGGGGAAATGCAGGGGAATTGTTGTCATAGAAACGGAGTGACGCTGAGACTATTAACGTGTCTTCATAATCGGGTTTTGATGTGGAGGAGATAGGGGTACCAGGGAGTTTGTGCACAGCTATAGTCACACTGGACATAACAGCTGAGGTAATACTATGCAGCAGCCTTGTGGTCCCCCTCCACCCTGATGTCAGATTAAAATGAAGTCAGGTTGAGACTGAAAGCCCACTTCGGAAGAAAGAAGTCGAAAATGAAATCTCACTGCAGGCTTTAGTCATCAGGTGATAAGTCAAAATGAAAGCACTCCAAAAATATTTGAAAATTGAACATCTACACTTCTATGCCAACTCTCATTGGATGAAGAAAATCGTGTTAGATGATCAGAAAGTCCAGAACTGCTACTGAATGGACCTTGTGGTGAGCAATTGTCTTGTCATTGTTGCAGGTGCTATTGTGGTTGCACTGATTTCTGTGATGGAATCACTGCCTTGATGGTTGATCGACGTGCGTAATCATTATTAAACTGTTATTTAGTCTAAATTCTGCGGTGTAGCTCTGGATGGGACGTACAGCTGTGTGCATTGATTAGCATGCATAACTAATGATGATTCTTCTCGTGTTCCCTTTTGTCAGTGGCCACAGAGATGATGAACAATGAAAGGGGATGTTAATAGATGGGATTTCTCTCTGACAATTATTTCTTGGCTCTGCTGTTTCATTAGCTAATTGGAATACTCTGAAGAGCTTTTATCACTCTGACTGGTGCCCTCAGGCTACAGTAGCAGTTCAAAGCAGATTCATCAGGCTGTTATAAAACATACATTACATTGTGTTTTGCACATTTCTTATTTTTTTTTATTTAAATTCTTGTGATTCTATATTTTTGGTGCCATTTTAGTACGTTAGTATGATACACTTTCAAAATGTAGATTAGCACTTTAGTGATGCCAAATAAACATAATAGGACTCTCTGAGGGTGACTGATATATTCAAAATATGACAGCACAGAACATCTAGATATAATTAGTTACTGTACTCTGGGAGCTGCAATAATATTCTTTTTTATTTCAGTGATGAATGGATATTGTTGATGCATCCTGTTAGGCATAAGCGATCCGCGGCGAGACATGTGCCGTCTCCATAGAAACCTGCAAGTTGTCTGAGCTTAGTCACTTCCCCGTAAGAATCCCACAGAGGCCCGATCTGCAGATGAAAGAGACGAGGAAACACGAGGAGTCTGCATCCTCAAGCTGGCAGCAAATCAATCCGCTTCCTTTATGTCAGGCGCACTCCTTAGGAATATTAGGCCCTAAAGCCTCTTGTGTGTGTGTGTGTGTGTGACAGACAGTGGGTCGTGCGTGCAGGCTTTATATATCTGAACAGAATACTACAAAATAAATAAATAAATAAATAAATATATATGTGTGTATGTGTGTATGTGTGTATATATATATATATATATATATATATATATATATATATATATATATATATATATATATACACATACATATAGACACACATCTAACTGAGAGGGTCCAATACACAGCCTGTTCTACTGCTGCAGCCGCACCAATAGGTCTGTTGATCTCCCAATCCATCCTAAACTCACTCGCGAACAGGACTCCGAGATACTTGAACGACGTTGCTTGCGTAAGGCAGTCCGTCCCCACCCGGGGGGAGAAGATGAGAACATGATTTTTGTAGAATCTCAAAAGCCAAATATTAAAAAATATATAGATATATAATTTTCTTGAGCAGTGAATAATTAAAATGATGAATCCGGGCAGACATGCGACATGACCTTGTCAAATAGACACCTGTTTTGCATTTGCTTTCCAATCTAGAACCACAGAATGGGTTGATGTTGGAACTTTATTTTCATTAGGTTGGGGGATCTAGAACCTTCAATTCTGGCAAATTTCACAAAGTTCGTTTTATATTCAATTAAGTCTTTTCTATAGTTTTGGAAAACTGACATCCTTTTCCTGACACTGGTAACAAAGTTGAACAAATGTAATCTCTACAATTAGAGATTTTCTTTAGGTTGGATTATGGAATCCGTCTCCAATGGTCGCAGAGTTTTTTGACC